GGACTTGCTCTGTACCATGTTGTAATAACTGAACAGGAATGGATGAACTAACAGTGAAATGAGTACAAGTACCTAACCCTAGAATTGTGTACCCCCTATAGGCTAACCCACTGTAGCCTAAACAACCACAACATATATATATATATAATGTTTGACAAAAACACGAGATAACGACGGGATCAGGAAGGTGGGTCTCGCCTTCTTGATCTCGTCAGTTAGGGTTTGTTAAACTCCGTCAGCCTGGTCAGCCCGTAAAAATGTTGGCGAGCCTCTCCTATCGTCCAAACCAGAAACCAAAGTGGGGGCCTGGCGAACGCCTCCATTTCGAAACCAAATCGAACTGCTCGATGGCATATGGAAGCGGAGACGCAACTTCGTCCCCAGGCAAAATTCCCTCCCCAAGCTATGCCATCGCCATCCCCCCTTTTTCAAAGGACAGCGATGGCACAGCGATTGCATTGCCGTTCAAAGCCCCTTGGGGGAAGGTGGGGATGGCGGTTCCCGATGCGGTTGCGTAATTTCGCTTTTCGAGCGCAGAAGTTTCTCGAGTGATATTACGCCCAAACCTCGGATGTGGGTTCCGCCTCCACTTCCGGATGCGATCGCGATGCCGCTGCCATCTTTTTCATTCATAACTTCGATTTGTTGGCGAACAGCACCAATATGTTTGGGTTGGTGGGGTTGTTCGGTCTGCCCCAACAACCAACCATCGGAACATGTAGCCAACCAGGCGATGGCTCCTAGTGAGGGTGAAAGCAGTCGTGCTTAGTTTCATCGCTTCAACGGGGTGCTTAGTTTCATCTCTTGTTTTTGTTATTGCGAGGTTGTGTGACAAAGGAAGGCTTCGCACATGGCGATGTTCACCAGCACCTTTGAAAGCAAAAACGAAGGAAAACGACGAGATCAGGAAGGTCGGTCTCGCCTTCCTGATCCCGTCAGTTAGGGTTCGTTAAGCTCCGTCACGCTGGTCAGCCCGTAAAAATGTTGTCGAGCCTCTCATGCCGTCCAATCCAAATGAAACTTTGTTGCCTGGCGAACGCCCTCACTTTTCTCAAATTTCAGACAGCATCATGGCATTCGGAAATGGGGAAGTGATTTCCTCCCCGGGCAAACGAGAGTCCCATGCCATCCCATGGCAATCTACCATTTCACGATGGATTGCCGTGGGATGGTGATGTCATTCGCTGTCAGAGGCTTGAGTGGGAAGGTGGGGAGGCAGGTTCCTGTCAAATGTTGTAGCCTGTAGTGAGGTTTGTCTTACGGGGTACAGATGTTAGGGTTTGTTATATGTACCCCATGTCAGGCATATATGCTATAGTCTGTGTAGGGTTGATATGGGGTACAACACTTTAGGGTTTGCCACTTGTACTCCCCTTTCTGCTCAATGCATTCATTTTTCGTTTTACGTCATGGTATCGAGCAGGTTCCCTAGTGGGAACGCTACCTAGGGCCCACCACGATACTTTTTTTTTCCTGCCCGGAGCCCGCTTCACTTCTACCCGAGTCGCGCTCTGTGTGCCCTCCCTATCTTCGAGCTGCCCTTAGTGGCCCCTCTCACGGCCCCTTCAGCCGCCCTTACGGCCCCTCGCGCCGCCCTCTACGGCCCCTCGCGCCGCCCTTACGGCCCCTTACGGCCCCTCAAGGCCCCTCGCGTCGCCCTTACGGCCCTCGCGCGGCCCCTTTCGGCCCCTCGCGGCGCCCTTTCCGGCCCCTTACGGCCCCGTCTAGGCCCCTTGCGACCCCGCTACGGCCCCGTCTAGGCCCCTTACGGCCCCTCCGCGGCCCCGTCTTGGCCCCTTGCGGCCCCGCTACGGCCCCGTCTAGGCCCCTTACGGCCCCTCCGCGGCCCCGTCTAGGCCCCTTGCGGCCCCGCTACGGCCCCGTCTAGGCCCCTTACGGCCCCTCCGCGGCCCCGTCTAGGCCCCTTGCGGCCCCGCTACGGCCCCGTCTAGGCCCCTTGCGGCCCCGTCGCCGCCACGTGCGGCCCCGTCTAGGCCCCTTGCGGCCCCGTCGCCGCCACGTGCGGCCCCGTCGCCACCACCAGCGGCCCCGTCGCCACCACCTGCGGCCCCGTCGCCGCCACCTGCGGCCACGCAGCCACCACGTGCGGCCTCGCCGCCACCTACGGCCCCGACGCCGTCACCTGCGGCCCCGTCGCCCTCCCCTAGCGGCCCTGTCACCACTCAGCTGCCCAGCGACCGAGCCGCGGAGCAGCCCAGCAGCCGAACCGCACTGCCGCCGAGCCGCCCAGCAGCCGAGACGCCCAGCCGCCGAGCCGCCCAGCAGCCGAGCCGCCCACCAGCCGAGCCGCCCTGCCGCCGAGCCGCCCAGCAGCCGAGCTGACGAGCCGCCGAGCCGCCCTACTGTTGAGCCGCTGCTGTTCCTACCGGTGCTCCCCGGCCCTCCTTCCTCGGACTGGTGAGCTCACTTCCTGCTAGGCCACTGCAGTCATGGCTACCCCCAGTGTCCTACTTTTGATGCTGAGGGCCGTGCCGTTGACTTTGAGGTCTGGGTCGATGACCTCCAGCTGTTTCTCCAGTGCGATAGGGCAGACGGACTCTCTCTGTTCGATCTCACCTCTGGTGTCTCTCCTACCCCGACTGCCACTGTTGACAGCACTGTTCGCTCACAGTGGGCCACACGCGATGCTGCTGCTCGCCTTGCTGTGCGTCGCCACTTACCGACCACTGAGCGTGCACACTTTAGCCTGTACAAGAGTGCTCAGACCTCGTACGACGCTGTAGTTGCACGCTACTCTTCCCCTGCCACTGCTGCACTGAGCCGCCTCATGCTACCGTACCTCTTCCCTGACCTTGCTGCCTTTCCCACAGTCGATGACCTCATTACGCACCTCCGCACTAGTGACACTCGCTACCGCGCTGCGCTTCCTGCTGAGTTCTGCGCCAAGAACCCCCCCCCCCATGTACATCACCCTCTACTACATAGTCACCCGGCTCCCTGACTCTCTTCGCGTAGTCAGGGAACAATTCCTCTCAGTTTGCCCCACCACTCTCACCGTTGACCTCCTCGAGAAGGGCCTCCTAGCAGCAGAGAAGAGCATAGTTGCTGTAGGAGCCTCTCGTGGTGACCCTCGCACCCCCGTCTTTGAGGGGTGTTCCCCCTCCCCCCTCTTGCCCTCTGTTGCTTCTGCTGCTGCGGCCGACCTCGTTGGTTTCGAGTCGGTTGGCGCTGCGTCTGCCCCTAGCGGGAGACGCCGCACTGGCAAGGGCAAGGGGGGCAAGGGCGCTGGAGGGGATGGCGGGGGCGGTGGAGGTGGTGGTGGAGGCAGTGGAGGGGGTGGGGGTGGTGGTGGGAGTGGTGGCGGGGGTGGCGGCGGTAGCGGCAGCAGTGGAGGCGCAAGAGGCGGCGGTGGTGGTGGAGGGAGCGGAGGTGGCGGAGGAGGCGGAGGTGGAGGAGGCGGCGGAGGCGGCGGCGGCAGCAGTGGACCTGGTCAAGGCTCTGCGCAAAGGAGTGGCTCCGGTGGTGGTACGCGCCAGCAGCAGCAGAGTAGTCGTGAGACCCTGTCCCCTCAGTAGCTTCGTGAGTGGTACGCTGCGTGTCAGCGCGGTGGGGGTACGGGTCCCTGCACCTACGTTCTCCGCACCGGCGACCGCGCTGGTGAGCAGTGCGGGGGCCTGCACCCTACCCAGCGCTGCTTCGGTCGCCTGACGGACGCGTGGCGTCACCAGTTCCCTGGGGCCTCTGAGATCCCTCGCTCGGGAGAGCTGTCTAGGGCGGGGGTTGCTATCTTTGATCTTGATTTTGATGCTATTCTTGCTGCCATGTATGCTGTTGATGATAGTGTTGCGGGTGACTGTTACCTGTGTGTACCGCCTGACCCGGGCATTGAGGCTGCTGCTCTAGGTGCTCGTGCGTCTGCTGCCCCAGGTGCCAGTGCATCTACTGCCCCAAGTGCCAGTGCGTCTGCTGCCCCAGGTGCTGGTGAGTCTGCGCTCTCAGGTACTACGTTGGCTCAGGCCTTACACACCTTCACCCTTGACTCGGGTGCGTCCCGCTCCTTCTTTCGAGACCCCACCACTCTTACGCCGCTTAGTCGGCCGGTTGCAGTCTCCCTGGCGGACCCCTCTGGGGGTCCTGTCCTTGCTAGCTTCTCCACTGTCTTACCGTGCCCAGCAGCCCCCTCTGGCACCCTGTCAGGTCTCTACCTCCCCTCGTTCTCTACGAACTTGGTGAGTGGAGCGGACCTACAGGATAGGGGGGTTGACTAGTTCACTCCTGCGAGTCAGCGAGTGACCCACTGCACGTGTGCTTGGACAGGCCGACACTTGGCCACGTTAACCCGTCGGCCAGGGTCGAGCCTGTACACCCTTACTACTGAGTCTCCTCCAGCTGCTGATTCTGGCCAGGTAGCTGTGTCAAGTCAGGTGTTTGCTGCAGCGTCCAGGTCTGGTCCTGAGTCTGGTCCCTGCTCGTGTCGTCTACTGTCCCACCAGAATCTCCTTTGGCACCACCGCCTTGGTCACCCCTCCCTGCCTCGTCTCTGAGGCATGGCCTCCCGTGTCCTTGTCTCTGGTCTCCCTCGGTCTCTCCCTCCCCTACCTCCGGGGCCTGGCCCTACCTGCGTCCCCTGCGTCGAGGGGCGACAGCGCGCCGCCCCTCACTCCTCCGAGTTTCCTTCGACAGAGGCTCCGCTGCAGACTCTCTACATGGACGTGTGGGGCCTCGCCCGCGTCCGTGGGCAGGGGCGCGAGCGGTACTTCCTGCTGGTGGTTGACGACTACTCGCGTTACACCACGCTCTTCCCCTTGCGCAGCAAGGGTGACGTCACTGAGGTGTTGATCGATTGGATCCGCGCAGCCCGTCTCCAGCTCAGGGAGAGTTTCGGCTCGGACTTTCCTGTTCTGCGTTTGCACTCGGACAGAGGCGGGGAGTTTTCCTCTGCCCGTCTGGGAGCTTTCTGTCGTGCGCAGGGCATCCGCCAGACCTTCACGCTTCTGGCCTCTCCACAGAAAAATGGGATTGCTGAGCGTCGCATTGGCATGGTCATGGACGTCGCTCGTACGTCCATGATGCATGCGGCTGCCCCCCATTTTCTGTGGCCGTTTGCGGTTCAGTACGCCGCGCATCAGCTCAACCTTCAGCCCCGGGTCTCCTTGCCAGAGACCTCCCGCGCCTTGCGGTGGACCGGGAAGGTTGGCGATGCGTCTGCGTTTTGGGTCTGGGGATCTCGGGCGTTTGTCCGCGACTTGTCTGCGGACAAGCTGTCCCCCCGTGCTGTTACCTGCGTCTTCCTTGGCTTCCCCCCTGACGCGCCGGGTTGGCAGTTTTACCACCCCACCTCGCGTTGTGTTCTGTCCTCCCAGGACGTCACCTTTGACGAGTCGGTGCCTTACTACCATCTCTTCCCCTACCGCACTGGGCCCCTCCCCCCGCCGCCGCTCTTCCTTGCGCCAGGTCCTCCCCCGGTAGACCCCCTCCCCCCTCAGGGTCCTGCCCCGTCAGGTGTGTCCCATGTAGACGCAGTCGAGCCGTTCGAGGTAGCTGTTGACTCAGGTGCTGCTAGAGGTGCTCAGCCTGCGGGTGCCGGGTCTGGGGGTGCTGAGACTGGGGGTGCTGAAACTGGGGGTGCTGAGTCTGGAGGTGCTGAGTCTGGGGGTGCAGAGCCTAGGGGTGCTGGGTCTTAGGGTGCGGAGTCTGGGGTTGCGGAGCCTGGGGGCGCTGGGTCTGCTCGTGTGGCCGCCGGCGGTGCTTCGCCGAGGCGGGAGCCGCTCTCTCCATAGGAGCTGAGCGAGTGGTTTGCCCGCCGCTGGGGACGTGCTGCTGGAGCTGGAGGTGCTCCTGTTGCTGCTGGTCCCAGAGGTGCTCGTACTGGCGGTCTTGGAGCTGCTGGGGCCACTGGAGTTGGTCCTGTTGGAGCTGCTGGCGGTGCTGGTGCTGCAGGAGCTGGAGCTGCTGGGGGTGTTGGCGCTAGTGTTTCTACTGGCGCTGGTGCGTCTGGGGGTGCTGCTGAGGCTGCTGGAGCTGGAGCTGCTGGAGCTGGAGCTGCTGGAGCTGGAGCTGCTGGGGGTGTTGGCGCTGGCGGTACTGCTGGCGCTAGTGCTTCTGAGGGTGCTGGAGCTGGCGCTGTTGGAGCTGGAGGTGCTGCTGGCGCTGGTCCAGACGCTGAGGGTACTGGTGCTGTCTTTGCTGTTTCTGGAGGCGCTTCGCGGCCGAGGCCGTACTTCGTTCCGCTCCTGGAGCAGGTTCTTGGTCTCCTGCCCTCTACTGGTCCTGCTCCTCCCTTAGAGTGTCCACAGCCTGTCCAGTCCCAGTCACAGTTACAGCCCGCCTCCCCTCTACCTGCTTCTTCTCCTTACACTGGTCCTACTGGAGGTCTTGCTGAGCGTCATGAGCCTGCGTCTCGTCCTGCGTCGCCTGTTCGTGCTGCTCGCACTAGTCGTCGTGCTACACGTCCGCGTCCTCCTGCGGTCCCCGGCACACACCAAATGGCATTGCGTCCTTCCACTGCTCCTCTTCGTGTCCCTTTGCGGTCTCCTCCACACTCCTCTCTTCCTCTTGCTCACCGGGAGTCTGACTCCCTTCGTGCTGCTAGTCCTTCGGTCATGCGCCTTCTTGCTACTATTGTCACTGACCCTTCCTTTGAGTCCACTGCTGCGTCTGCCCTAGTTGCTGAGCTTGTCAACTTCGCTGCTCGCTATCGTCTAGACTACGCTGCTAGTCTCGTTGCTGAGTCTGAGTCTGTCTGTCCTCCGTCCGTCGGGGGTGAGTGTGCTCTTAGCACGGACGTCCTTGAGGACAGGCAGGAGGAGTTCCAGTGCTTTGCTGCTGCTTTGCCCCATCTCGTGTCCACGCTGATTGCCCCTGAGGGAGACCCAGATGCACCAGACATCCCGACTCCTCGATCGTACGCTGAGGCGATCGAGGGTCCCTACTCCTCTCAGTGGCAGTCGGCCATGGACGCAAAGATGGCTTCCTGGAAGCCCACAAGCACCTACGTTGACGAGGTTCCCCCACCTGGGGCGAACATCGTCAGTGGCATGTGGATCTTTAGGGTGAAGCGGCCGCCGGGTTCTCCGCCTGTCTTCAAGGCGCGTTACGTGGCTCGTGGCTTCAGTCAGCGGCAGGGAGTTGACTACTTTCATACCTTCTCTCCCAACCCGAAGATGACCACTCTTCGGGTGCTGCTACACATAGCTGCTCAGCGCGACTACGAGCTTCACTCTCTTGACTTCAGCACAGCGTTCCTGCAGGGCAGCCTGCACGAGGAGATCTGGCTGCGCCACCCACCTGGCTTCACTAGGTCGTTTCCTCCTGGTACCCAGTCGAGCCTCCGGCGGCCAGTCTACGGTCTCCGCCAGGCGCCCCGTGAGTGGCACGACACAGTGAGGACTACACTTGCTGCTCTTGGGTTTGCTCCTTCTACAGCCGACCCGTCGCTGTTTCTACGCACCGACACCTCTTTGTCGCCGTTCTACATCCTCGTGTACGTCGACGAATTGGTCTTTGCCACTGCTGGACTCGCCCACGTGAAGTCCGAGCTGCAGAAGAGACACACGTGCACAGACCTGGGTGAACTGCGCTGCTACCTTGGCTTGCAGATCACCCGGGACAGAGCACACCGCACCATTACCCTGACTCAGTCACACATGGTGCAGCAGGTCCTTCAGCGCTTCGGCTTCACGTACTCCTCGCCTCAGGCCACTCCTCTGTCTACTCGCCACTCGCTCTCAGCTCTGCCTTCGGATGAGTCCGTAGAGCCGAGTGGCCCGTACCCAGAGCTTGTTGGCTGCCTCATGTACCTGATGACCTGCACACGACCTGACCTTGCATACCCTCTTAGCATCTTGGCACGCTATGTTACTCCTGGGAGACACCGACCAGAGCACATGGCTGCAGCGAAGAGGGTGTTGCGCTACGTGTGCAGTACGTCGGGCATGGGGCTAGTGCTTGGAGGGCGGCGTCGAGTGGTCCTCACAGGTCACGCAGACGCTTCTTGGGCTGACGACCAGGCTCTGCAGCGGTTGTCACACGGTTACACCTTCAGCCTTGGCTTTGGCTCTGTTTCGTGGCGGTCTACCCGCTCGTCTTCTGTTCTCAGCTCCAGCTGTGAGCCTGAGATCTACGCAGGGGCCATGGCTGCACAGGAGCTACGCTGGCTCACCTTCTTGCTGACTGACCTAGGAGAGCCGCCTCGTTCTCCTCCAGTTTTGTGCGTAGACAACAAGGCCATGGTGGCCTTGTGTCAGGAGCACAGACTGGAGCACAGAACGAAGCACATTGCTCTCCGCTACTTCCTGGCTCGTGAGCTGCAGCAGCGTGGTCAGCTCCGCCTCACCTACGTGGTCTCTAAGGCCAACAATGCTTATATCTTCACCAAGGCCCTTCCGCCTTGTGATCATCAGCGCTTCTGTATTGTGGTAGGTCTTGTGCCTACTTGGCCTCACTTGCTCACTTCTTGTCCTTGCTTGTACAGTCCTCTTTCTATACCTGCACTTGCTTGTTTACCTTTATATAGGGTTTAGATCTTGCATGTGAACTGGCCTTGTGGCCTTGCTCTTGTGCTCGGACTGTGTGGTGACGTTGTGATCCACCCTGAGCTTGCTTTGCTTTGCTTGACTGGTCTTGTGACCCCTTGTTCTCCCCCACTTTGCCTATGGGGGTGTGTCAGGCATATATGCTATAGTTTGTGTAGGTTGTAGTGGGGCAGTTCATATGGGGTACAACGATTTAGGGTTTGCCACTTGTACTCCCCTTTCTGCTCAATGCATTCATTTCTCGTTTTACGTCACCCCAACCCACATCAATTAACCAACACTTTCATTCTCGACATGGTATCACCTAGGTTAGGATCCTGTGGGATCCCGTTCCTCTCGTTCACGTCCGTAGCGCCCGAGCCTGTCCCGTACCCTAGTGTCCGTTACGCTCGTACTGTCCCCTAGCGCCTATCGCGCCTGCCGTTACGTCGCTCTCGTGCCCTAGCGCCCGCTGCGCCTACCGTTACGTCGCTCTCGTGCCCTAGCGCCCGATGCGCCTGCCGCTACGTCACTCTTGTGTCCTAGTGCCCGCTGCGCCTGCCGTTACATCGCTCCAACTGTCCCGCCGCGTCGCGCTGTCCGTCCGCGTTGCGCCGTCTGTCCCGTCCCGTCCATCCGCGTCACGCTGCCCATCCGCGTCGCGCTGCCCATCCGCGTCGCGCCTTCAGTCCCGTCCCGTCCGTCCCGTCCCGTCCATCCGCGTCACGCTGCCCATCCGCGTCGCGCCCTCAGTCCCGTCCCGTCCGTCCACGTCGCGCTGCATGTCCACGTCGTGGCGTCTGTCCCGTCCTGTCCGTCCGCGTTGCGCTGCCCATCCGTCCCGTCCCGTTTGTCCGCGTCGCGCTGCCCGTCCGCGTCGCGCAGTCCGTCCCATCCCGTCGCGTCGCGCTGCCCGTCCTGTCCCGTTGCGTCGCGTCGCGGTACCCCTACCCGTGGCGCTACACCCTCCTAGTCAAGCAGTGTTGCGCCCTACTCTGTGTCCCTTAGCGCCCTACCCTATGTCCCATAGCGTCCTACTGAGTCGCTCTCATTGATTAGGGTTTCAGCAGCAGCGCTTCCCACCTCTTTGCTTTTGCTATGGCGACCCTTAGGGTTCTTCGTTTATACGCTGATGGTAGACCGCTCAAGTTTCCGGTCTGGCTCCTACGCGCGCGTCGCCTTTTAGAGAGATAGGTTGAGGTGGGCGAGTCCCTCTGGGCACACGCTACTGGTGACCTTCCTGCGCCCGACGACCCTATGCCTTTAGGCCTGCCCCTAACGACGCCGCCAGAGACCGCTTTACCCGCCAGCGTGATGACCTGACGGCGTGGAAGTCGCGTGACGCTGCGGCCTGCATCGCTCTTAGCAGCCTCCTCCCTGAGTTTGAAGAGGCCCACTTCACTCAGGTTCGTACTGCTAGTGAGTTCCTGACTGCGATCAAGGCCCGCTACGCTAATCCCACGACTGTCTCTCTAGGCCGCCTCTTCCTACCGTTCTTGTTCCCTGACCTCGCCTCGTTTGAGCGCTCTGCTGACTTGATTGCTCACCCCCGCTCGCTCGATTCTAGCTACCGCGCTGCTCGCACTAATGCACAGCTTGCACTGCTTCCCCCTCCCATGGCGATTACTATCTACTTCATTGCCACTAGCCTCCCTGACCGCCTTGCCTCGGTTCGTGACATGCTTCTTTTGAAGCACCCTAGTGAGCTCACTATCGAGGTCCTTGAGTCTGTGCTCAAGGACGTTGAGAGCAACCTCCGCTCAGTAGCCTCCGCCTCTGGTGCTGTGCCCCCTCCACTGTTTCACAGGTGCAATGTCCCTCAGCTGCCCACTTTTACTGCCTCGCTAGCCACTGCCACTACTGACGTGACCGCAGCTGCTGTTACGACTACGCCGCGGTCTCGAGATAGGGGTGGCAGGAGGGGCGGTCACGGTGCAGGTAGCGGTGGCGGTGGCGGCGTTGGCGGCGGAGGTGGTGGGGGTGGCGTGTCGACCGGTGCCGGCGGGAGCGCAGGGCCTAAAGAGGCGTCTCGTGCAGCGGCCAGTGACTCCCCTACAGCAGTTGGTGGAGGCGACACCCGGACTCGTCAGCCTCCTCCTGGTCTGCCGGCCGCGGTGGGTGGAGTAGCGGCGTGGTACCTGTCCCAGCGACAGCAGCAGGTGCAGCAGCAGCAACCCCTCCCATTGCAGCAGCCTCTGCAGCAGCAGCAGGTTTCGGGGCTGGGACAGCGTCAGCCCCAGCGAGGTGTTGTTCACCCTTTGTGCACCTATCAGGTTCTGACAGGTGCTCGTCGAGGCCAGCCTTGTGGTCGCACCCACCCTCCTAGTCAGTGCTTTGCTCAGCTCACTAACACGGTTCGCTTGGCCTTCGGCATTGGTGGCCGTGCCCCTGACTGGTTTCCTCTTGTTCAGACGTACACTCACGCCCGTGCCCCCCATTTTCTGTGGCCCTACGCGGCTAGGTACGCCGCTCACCAGCTGAACCTCTGCCCATGCGTCTCTCGGCCAGAGGCTTCACCGACCAGTCTTTGGACTGGGTCCCCTAGTGTTGCGTCGAGGTTTCGTGTCTGGGGTTGCTTGGCTCTTGTCCGCGACACTTCCGCGGACAAGCTCTCGCATCACGCCGTTCCCTGTGTCTTCCTTGGTTTCCCTGATGACTCCTCTGACTTCACCTTTTACCACCCTCCCTCTCACCGGTTCTTTGACTCTTGTGACGTCCGTTTCAAGGAGTCCACCCCCTACTACGTTAGGTACCCCAGTCGAGGTCTCCCAATTCCTCCTCCCCCTCTCCTCCTGACTTCCGCTCCCCCTCCTGCTCCCCTGGTGAAGCCTCCCCCCCCTGGTCCCGTCCTGTCAGGTGTGTCCCAGGCTACTCCTCCCCCCTCGGTAGCCCCTCAGGTGCAGCCTCCTTCCACGCAGTCCTCCTCGCAGCCTGCTACAGACCCTGCGGTAGCCGATGCTCGTGGAGAGGGCCCTACCGATGCTAGCTCTGGGGTGCTGAAGTTGGTACTGAGCCCGTGGTTGCAAAAGACTCTTGTTTTCCGGGAGCTGGTGTTGGTCCTGCTGACTTTGGGGGTGCTACGTCTAGGGGTGCGGGTGCACCCTCTTCGGGTCCTGGTGAGCCTGGTCGTGTTGTTGTTGGTGGTGCTGACTCTAGGGGTGGTGCGCCAGGTGCTTTGGAGGGCGGTCCCGGGGCTGCCGCAGCCCCCGACAATACTCTTCCCCCCCACCCTTACCCCCCAGGCTCGTTTTCGCCGTGCCCGTGAGGAGCAGCTGGAGTTGGAGAGAGAGGAGAGAGAGTTGCAGCGGCTCGAGGAGCAGCAGCAGCAGCAGCAGCCGCCGCCGCAGCAGCAACAGCCGCCGCCGCCTTCTCCTCCTGTCTCCGGTCTTCGGGCCCTCGGTCTCCCCTCTCGCTCTCCTTCCTCCTCCCCCTCTCCTCCCGTCTCGGGTCCTCCGCTTCCTCCTCCTGACCCCTCCCTGGTTGTTTTCCCTCGTTCTTAGCCTCCGTTCTCCCCTCCTCTTTCTCAGACTTGGGCCTCTCGTCGCTCCCCTCGTGCTCGACCCTCGTCTCCTGTTCTTGTAACTGACCTTCGTACTGCCCTCTGTCGTTTTAGTCCGCCTTGTTCGTCTCCGTCTCTCCTTTTGTCTCCTCCTGAGTCGGCCTTCACTACTTCTCTCTCTAATCCAGTCACTGACTACTACCGCACGTACCGTCTTGTTCTCTCTCGTGTTCTTGCCTCTCTTGTTACCGACCCTTGTGCCTCTGTCTCCTCTGTCTCCGCCCTTACTGCCGCAGTCACTGAGTTTGCCTCCACTTGCCGCCTTGACTACGCCTCCGGTCTTGTGGCTGCTCCTCCTACCAGTCCTCTGGCCGTCAGGTGTGAGTCTGCCCTTGGCTGTGACGCCCTAGAGGACATTCACTTTGAGCTAGAGTTCCTGGCAGTCGCTTCCCCACATCTTTGTGCCATGCTGCTCGCCCCTGAGGGAGACCCCGACGCCCTTGACATACCGACTCCTCGCACTTACGCTGAGGCAGTATTAAGGCCTTGGGCCTCCCAGTGGAGAGCTGCCATGGACGCAGAGATGGCCTCCTACAGATCCACAGGCATCTACGTCAATGAGGTTCCCCCCCTTGGGCAAACGTAGTCGATTTCATGTGGATCTACAGGGTGAAGCGGCCACCGGGATCTCCTCCGGTCTTCAAGGCGCGCTTCGTGGCTAGAGGTTTCAGTCAGCGCGAGGGAGTTAACTTCTTTCAGACCTTCGCGCCTACCCCGAAGATGACCACCCTTCGGGTGTTACTGCACGTAGCAGCACAAAGAGACTACGAGTTACACTCTCTCGACTTCTCCACGGCTTTTCTTCAGGGTAGCTTACACGAGGAGGTTTGGCTGCGTCGTCCCTCTACCTTCCTAACACTTTCCCTCCTGGGACCCAGTCGAGGCTGAGGCGACCTGTCTACGGTCTTCGTCAGGCTCCTCATGAGTGGCACGACACCCTTCGTTCTACCCTCTCTGACCTTGGATTCCAGCCGTCTTCTGCCGACCCGTCGCTGTTCGTTCGTCGTGGCTCCACACCGTTCTTTGTTCTGGTCTACGTCGACGACCTGGTGTTCGCCACTACTGACAGGGTTGCCTTGGCAGACGTGAAGTCCAAACAGCAGAAGTGACACACGTGCTCTAACCTTGGTGAACTGCGCCACTACCTTGGCCAGCAGATCACCAGGGACAGAGCTGCTCGCACCATTATGTCAGAATCCCAGCCACTAGACCACTGGGATAAAAGGGCTTGTTTCAGTAGCGGGTCAGTGCGCCCATAACCCCCCAGGCGAACGCGCCTGTAACCCTCTCCAGGATCAATCGGGCATCAACAGTGCAGATCTACTGACACATTACACTCTCACACTCACACATGGTACAGCAGGTTCTTCAGCGGTTCGAGCTTTAACACTCCAAAGTACAGCGCACACGTCTTGCTGTTGACCACAGACTTACTTGACCCTTTCCTGACGAGCCATTTGAGTCTAGTGGTTCCTAAGCAGAGCTGGTGGGCTGCCTCATGTACTTGATGACTTGCACTCTCCCGGACCTCGCCTTTCCTCTCAGGATCCTTGCTCGCTTTGTTGCGCCAGGGAGACACCGTCCTGTTCACTGGCCGGCAGCTATGAGGGT